TTCCAAACTACAAACTGCGTCCAAAACATCATTTCATTGAACACTACCCTCAAATGATAATAGTATTGGGTCCGTTAGTAGATGTGTGGACGATGCGTTTTGAGGGGAAGCACAAGTTTTTTAAAACAGTGGTGCATGACACACGCAATTTCAAGAATGTGGCTCATACCTTGGCTGTAAGACACCAGAAGATGATGGCCTTTTATTTAGACTCCTCAATATTCTTCAAGCCACCTTTGGAGATTTATAAAGTGAAGTCAGTCTTGGTCGCATCTTTTCCTGACATTGTTCAGAGTTAATTTCATCAGCAAAATGTTAAGGAAAGTACAGTGCTTGTTGCATCTTCTGCTTGTGTTGATGGATGATGTTAAATATAACACAGGTATGATCATTTCAGTTGCTCAGTCTTCCTGAGTTCAGAAAATAACACATATTGTTGTCATCAACACAGAAATCATGTTTGTCTGCCAGCTTTTGACAGCAAGGTATGTTGAACATTAACGTGCTTATGAGTTGTGTTCCACTGCAGTGTTAATTTCATCAACCATGACGATGACGAAAATATTTCATCAACACACCTTTTTCCAGTGACAATGACGAGACGACAAGAACAAAAATTGTTTCCAGAAAATAAAATAAGTTCCAGAAGTTGAAGAATTGAAGTTGCAATAAATGCTGGAAAAGAATGTGGACAACAAATGGCTTCAAAAGGCCTCAAAAGACATAAAAGGTGTTAGGTTAATTACCTTCCAGGCATTCCCGAGGGACAGACTGAGGAAAGCCTTGAAGCTGAGAGAAAACTCTTGGTTGAAGAAATGAAAAAGAGGAACCCTAGTGGAGTTGTGATCGCATTAAAGATGGACCAGAGTTCCCATTGCGGAGACTAGAGATTGTGGAGGCCAGGCCTGCAGTAAAAAACTTGAAGTAGCGGTGGCCAGCGCTGTTTACTGAGAGACAATTAACTGCTGAAATATTAGGTATAGAAATAAAAATAGCTTTTCTTATTTTGTGGCATTTCACCCATCTGTTCAGTCTTGAAGAGTACGGGGGGGTTAAATAATTCATTTTCGTTAGTTCCAGAAAAACTCTGAATTCTGATTTTATTGGCAAATGTTTGATAACGTTAGAAATATAAGAAATCCTGACTTTTTCATCATAATTCAGTTCATCCTTTTTAGTGGCACTAATACCTGTCCCATTTTCTTTTGTCTTTCTGCTTGGAAATTACAAAAATGAATTCTGTAGATTAGTAATTTGTCTACACTGGCCCAACACAGTTTAGAGAATCTGTTTTTGCTGTGTGTTTTAGGTGTTTGAGGAGTTCAATAGAATGTTCACCAGAAACCTACAGGTGGACTTCTTTGAAGCCCTGGATCGATGCACCCCACAGTATCAAGATATTCAACGAAAAGAAAGACAATGTGGGACAAACCCTGTCTGAGTTGATGCAACAACTGGATGCAGTGGTAAGTATATGTAGGGCTTCTTTTGTCTTTATCTTGATAAGAGGTCTTGAAATAGTAATTAGTCTTTTGGTGCCCTTTTATATAAAAACAATGGTGGGAAATAAATTGCTCACATTCCCATAGATCTTATATCTCTCATAATTCGTGCAGAACATTTAATCAGTTGTATCCACAGCCGTAATAGTCAGTAACTTTTTTGCTGTACAGTCAATGTAGTGATACTTGTTTCTTACTTGTTCACTTTCAACTACTTTTGTTCAGTAACCTTTGAATGCTGCACTATCTAAAGCCTGATTTGTTCATCCAATTGTAGAAACCAGATGTGACGGCATTGCGGACCGCTGTACTCCGAGTTCTCCCGGTTTTATTTGGTGATGACCCCACTGACTTCTATCTAACCTGCTTTGTAAGTTCTCTTAGACACATCTAAAATGAGCACACAGTCATGGGAAATGTGTATCACTGTCTCATAGACATTAAGATTTAAAACAAAATTAATGTATACTTTTGGTATTGTGTGTAAACAATAGCATGTGTTGCAAGTTAGTTTACAGTTTGACGTATGCAACCACAGATAAGTTATCAACCTATCTTCTGTGGGTTGAAAGGTACATTGTTAATCTTATAAACTAAATTATGTTAGTCCAGGATCTAGTACAGAGTAATTTTTGTGGCTTTTGAGTTTTTAGGGTTTGGAAGGAGCGTTTTTCTTTTATTTGATTTAGTCCAATGGCTGACTTATGGTTGTTAGCATGGCAACCTAAATCTGCACAAATCATTGCAGTGACCTTGCACAAGCCTGCTACTGATTTTTATTTGGTGCCATTGTTAGTGCTGAGCTAAGCTCCTGTCCACACGAAGTCAAACCCTGGCCTAAACGCACAAATTTTTCACCAAACCAGCCTCTCATCCATACGAAGCCGGCGTTTCGGGGGTCTGTAAACGATCTTTTTTTTATTCAGCCTTCAGAGTGGGAAGACTTTGAAACACCATTTTCGCGTTTCCATCTTTAAGCTCTAACCGCATTTTTTTTCTTACACGCATGCGTCATAGCGTCGCCTCTAAACACGCAGGCGCGACACAGTATCACAACAACAATGGTGCCGTACTGTGTTGAATGGTTGCTGCTCATGCTACTCACCCTGCTGTCGGGCTTACAACAGAATCTTCTTCTTCTGGAATATCTCCAAGAAGAACAGAGCAATATCGACGACATAGTTCAGCACCTGAATTTGACTGAACCACGAAAATGGACCCGCAGGGCAACCATGATAAATATTAGTGCGCATGCCCAACATTTCTTCGCCTATTTTTGCTTTGGCACCACAGTGCCACTTACAGGCCTGGCATACATTTTGCAGCGTTTTCATGCATTCGTGTGGACGATCACATTTATTTTACGTCTCCGTCTTTACGACAAACGTTCAGGAAAATATTAGCGTTTCGTGTTTGTTTTGACTTCGTGTGGACGGGGCCTCAGTCATGATGTTAAGAGCTGAAAGCTAGCCACTGGATGTACAGACACAAAACAAAAATTGATCATGTTTTTCAATAAGTATTACTTTAATGCATAACACTGGAAGGAAGTGTTGACAGGACAAAGGATATCAGGGCAGTTTCAAACTTACAGTTAACAATGTTTCCTTTCATTACAGGATTGTGACACTGATGAGTCCGAGGCACAAGTATCTGTTGTGGTGTTGACCGTTGTCCCTTAATCTCTGCGACCCCCTCCAGATCAGCTCCACCTTCACCCAGTTTCTACTGCCATCATTGTTTAGGGAGGCATTGTGCTGGAAGATCTCCAGAACCTACCTGAGGCACTTAGCCTCTTGTTTGGACTGTCATAATCTTTACATTTGGACTTTCCCAAAGCCATGAAAAATACATTTGGCTTCATTCAAAAAGTCATGCTTGGCTTGGTAGACAACAAGCTCCCACCAAAACTGCAAAGTCTTAAAAACCCCTTGTTGAGTTAAAAGGCAATTGTATGACATTTGGCAAATGTCCCTTGTTAATGAGCCGGTTCAGTTGTTTCTGTCTTTTCCTTTATAAAGTTTCTAGCTCTTGGATTAAAATCACTTTGTATTTGTTGGCCTTTTTTTTTTTGGCCCAAATCGATTTTTGATTTATGTAATTCATGTATTGGTGATACAGAAGTGCACTTTCAGCCTGTTTGCTCTGTAAAAAGGCTGTGTGTTTCATTACAAAATACCTTTTAAGTTAATACTAAAGAAAGGTAGTTGGTAAATGGTTAACACAAAGAGGAGGAAAAAACTTTGAACTGTTGATTACCTTGATTATTTTTGTTATTGTAAATCAGAATCGTTCAAAGAAATATATTGTACACAACTCTGTACTATTTTTCATTTTTCCCCCCAAATATATTTTTGTTTTTTGGATTTATGTAATGTTACTCAGAGATACTAAAGTGCACTTTAAGGCTGGTCTGCTTGTTATTTCTTACAGTTGATCTGATTGAGTTTTAGAACTGTGACGGCATTAGACCATCTTTAGAGTCTGTATAAAACCAAGAAAAATAAACAAACTTTGGACTGTGTTATTGCCTTCATTGTTATGTTTCATTGTAATCCGGGATATTTTAGAAAATTGGAACCTCTTTTATTTATGTTACGCAGGTAGGACTTGTTTGGATTTTTTTCACTTAAAACAATCATTTCGCCTGATTTAAGCAAGTAAATCAGATTGCAGTTCTAGCAAGTGTAACTTAAGACATATTGAGTGAGCTTAAATGTTATAAGCAAGCTATATGGAATAAACTGAGAAATTTCACTTGCAATAATCTATTTAATTAAATGTTTAATTGTGAGTAGTCTTTACTAAGTCAAAAGTTCATCTAAAGTAAGTTATCAAGTTCACATTACATGATTGTTTTAGTGGCTTAAACATATATGTAAGTCCACTCTACAAAGGATGCACTAGTTGGTACAACTTAAAACACATAGTCCTCTATACCTCTATACAACCGGTTTACATGCTTTTTTTAAGTAATGACAACTCATCTTGTTATATGTAGTGTGGACCGTGTTTATTTTCAGCCATTTTGAATCCTTACTCCCTAACCCTGAAAATAACCCTAAGCCTAACCCTTACCAGTGCATACATCCCCATATCCCTAAACAAAATTTAATTCACACCTTTGCCCTAAACACACAATAAGAGTTGGGAACACTTGAAAGTTGGTCTATGAAATAATCTGGTGGTTTATTTGATTGTAAGCAGGGGGCTTTGTTCTGGTTGCTCTGTTTTGCACAAATTGTTCCATCTGTGCAGCAGCTGGATGCACCAAGACCACATTTAACGCATCAGTTTGATAGATACCCTTTTGATTTTTTCTTAAATCACTGTTTATATATACACATTTGTTATTTGCTGTTGAGAATATTTCTATGTTTGTACAAACTGTAATATGAAATAAAGAATAGGTTTCCTGTTATACTGATAATGAAAAATCATCTATTTGGCATTATCAATAAATCTTACATTGACGATAGTAATCAGTTAAAGCCTTACCAGATATGTTGGTGGTAATTTCTGTAATGGTAGTTTGGCCAAATCCTTTGGCAGTCCGGGCACGAACAGAAACCAGGTACGTAGCTCCTGGGTGCAGATCAGAGAATATCTGGTAGGTTTCGTTTCTCAGTTTGGATAGGGTGCGTCGAGGACCAGGTGTATTTATGCCAGGGTCCGAAGATTCAACACATTGGTAACTGATCTGCAAACAGTAACAAAGATAAAAAAGAAATAAACAAGTTTGCAAAAGAAAGCTTGGACTTAATAAGACCTACATCCAACCTTTTCAACAAAAGGTGCAGGCACATTTCAAAATTAAGCCCATTTTTGGCAGTCTATGGATGAGAGGAGGGGTACGCCCTTCAGGTCACCAGTCTGTCACAGGGCAACACAGAGACACAATGAGACATACAACCATACACACACATTCACACCTAAGGACAATTAAGAGAAGCCAATTAACCTTCGGAGTACCCAGAGACAACCCATGCACACATGGGGAGAACATGGAAACTCTATGCAGGACAACCTCAGGCCGGGAATACAAACCAGAACCTTCCTGCTGCAAGCTAACAGTGCTAAAAACTGCACCACCACACAACCCTCATCAAGAACCTTTAACACTAAACTGAATCTGCACCCTTACATTGTACCATTTAAGTTTTGAGTCCTTGATAATTAAGAGATGTATCTGTGAAGATTCTCAGTCATCCAGGTCATGGTCAAGCTTGAAAGGTTCAGTTTAGGCAACCGAATCAGAATTTTCTACAGTACAAGACGTTTCTCCTCTCATCTAAGACGCTTCTTCAGTTCTACTTAGTGGTGTAGGTGTAATAAAGAAGTGACCTTCATGGCCAATCCAATAGCAGGGATCATAGACACACCTTTTGTTCCACCTTATTCTTTGTTACATTTATAGTATATTAATCTCAGTGCTCCAGTGACATATGGAATATAGCTATTTTTATTATGAATGTTTAGTTGTTTTGGATAGCAGTTTAACCGTGTTTAAATGCAAATTTTTGTTTTTATTTATGACATTATTTGGGTCAGGGTTTTTTTTTCACCCCATTTTAATCCATGATGGCGAGCTACCGGATCACCACAGCTTCACGGCAGGACTTAAGTGAACCAAACTACTTCAAATTTTTGAACCTATTAACCTGGATTGATCATGGACTCAAAACAATCAGATTATTGATTGATGAAACGTTAATCACTCTGCAAAGATAAAGAGCAGACTTAAAGAAGAGAACAAACTATCTTGGGTGTTATCAGGGTTTATTTTTTGTCTTCATCCTGTTGTGTTTAGTGTTTATACTTACAGGAAAATATAAATATGAGTACCTTCCTAAATATATGCAAAAATATACATTTGAATACAATAACTTAAACTTACTACCTGTCTGTGTCTTATTTACACACACACACAGACGGGCTCCTCAGACAAACCTTTCTGATTTCCTATCACCATATTTGGCTGTAGTTAGGCGCCTAGCATTAATTATGTTACACGGAGCAGCAACATACGGGTCTAGACTGGACGGTGAAGCAGGAGCGGCCGCAGAAAATGAGCATCTGCCACATGCTAATATTGACAAATAGATGTCCCGCCCCCAAGAGCAATATACTCCACTGTCAGTTGGTTCAGCTCCGCACACAACACTGAAAAGTGCCAATGATATCAAACTCTTGAAAACTAACTTTCATATTAAGGCGGGGGCCACAAACCATTGGCACAACTTTCTGAAGGAGTGGTGTGGACATGTCCCCATCAACTTTGAAATGGGTGGACAGTCCCCACCAATAATTTGTACATTTGTGTTCGGCTCATTTACTTTAGCCAACAACAGTAACCTCAGGACGAGCGTATGTTCTGAGTTTTCAGTCAGCGTTTCTGTCTCGCTATCCCGCTGCTCCTGAGTCCCGCCTACTGATATAACATCATTGGATCCTCTGTCCATGGCTCCATGTCTGTCACTTTATGATAGAAAATGATTGGCAGTCGCTATTCACCGCGTCATCAGTTGCTACTGTACGAGATTGGAGGAGAGACGACACACAATAGCACTCATTAATATTAACCAGCAGCTACTTCAGGTTTTATTTAAAAAGAAAAAAATAGTAGACGGGTTGGTTTAAAAAAAAAGATGCCACCGATAAAGTCGTCAGACATAAAAAGCTTTTTCAACAAAAAAAGCAAAGGAGTGTAAGTAGCCTTAAAAATTAGTATTGTAAAGCAATGAGTTTGACAAAAGCAGGTGCGTTTTTTTCCTGTTTTTATTTGTTATTAATGTTGCTGATGTTTCTGAGCCATTACAAAAGAGCCACTTAAAGGAACCAGTCTACATTATAATATTTTTATTTTGTTAGTTTTGCATTCTCAGCAATATGAAAGCACTGAATAAATGTGTGGTGTTCAAATTTGTGTTTGGGCTTATTTTTAGCTAAATACAAAAACCTAACAAAAGCCTTTAAATCCTGTAATTGCAGGTTCATCATCCCCAACCCTTATAGCAGGGGAACCAATTAATAATCAGCGGGTCCCAATAAAGAAAATCATCAACCAGTAAAGGTCTGGAGACATTTTTAATGATCTGTTGCTTTAAACAAAATTTAACACTGAAATATAATGAGGTGTTTATGCATCTATGTTAAAGATTGAATTTTTTAATTAAAAAATAAAGAATTTTTTTCTATTTTAAAATCTAAAGTGTTTTTTTGAAGTAGAGAACAACAATAGTTTGGTATACAGACAATTTCCTGATTCACTTATTTTATAAAACACCTGAACTGACAGTTTGTTTTATTTATTTCTTTTTTCTGTCTTAATGAGAGCAGTGGGCTTTAGGCTGCCCTGCAAGGCTTTAAACCTGGGTTTGAATGGAGACTAAGCCATTCTCAAGCACATATCAAGGTGTTCATTTTGAGCCTGGATCCAGATTTATTTCTGATTCTGTTCATGGTGGAGAATCCTGCTTCACAACAGCAGGTTGAGCCAAACATCCTCTAAATGTTCAGGCCCCGCACCGGTCCGGCCAGGTCAAGATTCACTATTGCAATCGCACCAAAATGGAAAAAGAACGGCGACAAGATCTGGTTTGTTAAATTGAAATATAGTAACAACAGATCGATAACTACAAATTATAACATAATTCTTATATATGTCAAAAAACTAACACTGTTTATTTAAAAGATTGGATGTTAACTATTGGTGCTTCAACAGACCAGGAAGCAGATTTCTCATCTCCATCCATCAGAAACCGCACATCTGCTGGATGCTGACGGGGATTTTTTAAACATGTTATATTAAATTAATTGTTCATTTCTGCATGTTTTGTTCCTACGAATTTAATGATAATATCTAAGGCTGGGTATTTTGGCCAAAGTCCTGAATCGATTCGATTTTGATTCATACAGTTCTGAATTGATTAAATTTGATTCGATTTGATCTGCTCTTACAATAATTAAAGTGGCTCAACTTTTGCACAATACATATGTATTTTATTTTTTTTTCTTTCGTATCATACACAAAGGGCAAACAAAGTGCAGACTTGTAAACACCACAGTTTATAAACTTTGGATGTAAACGAAACTGTCTCAATTCAATTCAGTTCAATTCAGTTTATTTATATAGCGCCAAATTCACAACACATGTCATCTCAAGGCACTTTACAGTTCAACCAGATCATACAGTCAAATTGATACAAAGTTTTCTATCTATGGAAAACCAGCTGATTGCATCGACTCATTGACTCAAATACAATCCCTCACACTAAGCATGCTTGTAGCGACAGGGGAGAGGAAAAACTCCCTTTTAACAGGAAGAAACCTCCAGCAGAACCAGGCTCAGTGTGAGCGGCCATCTACCGAGGCCGACTGGGGTTCAAGGAGACAGAAGCAGAGATACAAAAAGCAGCTGTAAAAGGCGGCCCCGTCCAGGAAACACACAGCCAGGCAGACGAGCTCCGAGCCAGCTCCATGTCAGAGGATGAAGAGAGCACATCCAGTCAGTCACAGGACCACACTGGAAAACAAGTCTCAAAAGTGCTAATTTGTACAAATAAAAGTTTTGCAAGTGAAAAACTTTTACTAAAGCGCTGCAATTGGAGGCATTTTCTCTTAAGGGCCAAAAAATACTGGGAAATAAATAGAAAGTTAAACTTGGGTCAGATACAATCATACACGACCTTGACCACTACCAAACCATGGAGAACATTTTTTTTTTTCTATAATACTTAAGTAGGATTTCAGTGGCCGATTATCTGCTCATCTGCTCAATATCCAACTACTTCAGTGTGTGAAACTATCGGGCTTAAAACTGTTAGCACAACTAGCTTCTTTCATCAGTTTTAACACCCGGACCAAATCCTCAGCAATTGTTACATCCTCCTCTGTTAGGGTGCACAAATCTTTTTCGTTCCTGCGTACATCTTGATAAAGGAGAGTAGCAGAGAAGGCTGGTTGTTGCTCTAAAAAGCGCTCCAGCATGTCCAGTGCACTGTTCCATCTCCTCACAACATCAAGTGTTAGCTTATGTGCAGGTAGTTGATGCAGCTGCCGTTTTTTCTTTCACTATGTGGTTTGCCATCATACTCCGGTGAAAGACGTTGCTATACACCTCACACAAGAAGGCAGACGTGTGCGCGAAGTAGCCGACATGCATCAGCTGCCTAATTCAATTGATATGTTTAGCTTATTCAAACTGTTATGGTAAAGACTAAAACCAACGACACGCTGTTTTGGAAAGAATCATTGAAACTGAAGGAAACTTGAAGAGACTATTAACTTTGCACTTAAATAATTTTTTATTTCTAATCAAACAGTTGAGTCTCCTTTCAGTTTTTTTCTGTCATCATACCAAAAGTGTTTTACAGTTGTGAGGTATAGCTGGTATTACCAAGTATTCAATCGGTAGCTACAGAGCGAACGAACTGCAGGGGTGTTGCCATGGGGTCATGCCATAAAACCCGTGGCTGCCGAGAAATGCATCCCATAGCTCAACAAGACAGGGGCGTAGACTCAAAGTCTAGGTTAGCACATGAGTTAATAAGCCAAAAAGTTGATGGGTAGTCACTAAATATGCCAGTTATTGTCTTGTATGAACACCATACCAACAACATTGGGGTTTGAAAAATAGCGATTTTTTTTCAATCAGTGTGTCACCCCATAGGAAAATTATTGATAATTTCTTGTCTTGTATTTTAAACTGTTAGGAATCCAGTTTGTGTGGGTTGTGTTTTTGTTTGTTTTCCCTCCACCACCACGTGGCGCCTGGTTCTCGTTGGCCCTCTCACACACCTGCAGATGGTTGCCTCATTACCGGAGGACTATTAAGCTGCTGACTGCCACTACCTCGACCCCAGAGTGTTTGCCAGTTTTGGGTACTCTAGCCAAGCTGAGTTTTGCTGAGTCAAACTGAGTTTTTGTCACCTGAGCCTTAACCTTGTTGTTTTTTGTCTTTGCCTCTCGGCAGGAAGTCATCCTGAAAACTGGATGTTTTGGACCTTCTCCCCCTGGAAGGATCGTCTGAGCTTCAAACTGAGCTGGGGATTCAAACTGGAGGTTTGGATCTACTTTTCCCCAAAGAATTGTTTGAGCTCCACACTGAGCAGGGGATTCATCTCCACAAGAACCCGTTCAAGTACCATAGGAAATCTAAGTGGCAGTAAGCTCCTCCGTTCCTCAAGGAAACACCTCAACCTTGGTAAACCCTGTCCACCCTCCAACGAGGAAGTCAATTACTGGAACAACCCACACCAACTGGATTCAGAGAAAGACACCTTTTTCTGGAAACGTGAGTCCTGTTGCCTTTATTCCCTTTTGCAAATCGAAGCTCACATTTCCCACTAAGCCTAAACTAACCACAGAAACTTCCCCTTCACTTTTCAGTCCCGGTTCGCCAGTGTTCAGAGCAGCACTGGACCCATCTCTACCAGTTCACAATAAACCTGTTAAACCTTCCCCTGGTCTTTCTGTTTGGTTTTCTGCCTGTGGGTCAGATCTTTGAAATAAATCATGACATAAACCTAATGAAGAACCCTTGTTCTGAAAATGTTGTTTCTTTGACATTCAACAAATGACTTTTAAGGACAATGAAAAAATGTACTTTATTGAACCAGGGGCAAAATATTATGACAGTTACACTGCAATGCCTTTAATATACAGTATGGTAGATCAAATTAAAGTATCTGTCCAGTGACCACTGACTGTCACCATCTAAAGGAGGAATTTGCTGTTACCATGAAGAAACGTGACCCATTCAAAACTGCAACTTCACAAACAACAGATATATGTCACAGTATCCTCTGGTTGGGGACATTTTTTTCAGTGCATTTTATAAGTCTCTCTTGCATTCAGTTTAACCTTTTCTGTGAAATCTCTATAAAAACCTTTTCCGGATACCTGCCTGGTTTCTTCGTGCAATAGAATTTGTCAGGAAATTGAAATATCTCCGTACCTTTAAAGATCTTACATCATTCTACCTGCTGGTGATCTCTAGTCCATCTTCTCCTTGACAATGCTCATTTTATTATGGCAGAAAACATTTAAATGTTGAAAGCAAAATGATGAAATAGCATTGAGAAGCAAAGCAGGAAAATGTGTCGTGACATTTAACTTTAAAGTAATTTTCATTCAATAAGCTTTTTTTTAATCCCTTACTGATCCCTGACTCTCTCTATTGTGACCAAAAAACTAATTTAAAAATGTCAAGAGCAAATGTAAGCATAAAGTCTTCTCAGAAGAGGATTGGTTTGATTTCTAAGAATAACATTACTGCTAAGTAATAACACAGAGGTAGCAAAAATCAGTAGACCGAAGGGAGAAATTACTTGGTTGACGATAGCGTTCAAAATCAGAAGTCTCGGACCTGCCTCACATGAAGCATGCTATTTAATAATTGAGTCATTGGACTCTAACTGGAAGTAATACAAAAAAATGTGGGTGTTACAGACTTCTAATAGGAAAAATGTGAGTGTTGCATTCTCCACGGGTTCAAGGCCCATGACATCACCACTTAGAGCACTGCAACGTGGTGGTGCCCTTGCCAAAAAATTATAAACAATGCTAAGTTTTAATTTTTTTTTATATATACATCTTCACCTTTGTAATATAATTATTCATAGTAGTAAGACACAATCTCATAAATTAAGCAAGTTTGCTTGACAGTTCCAACTCTGTAAACCACTGATTAATAATAAATTGGTCAGTTGTTCTCATATCTGTCTATGCTAACCATTCCCTGTTTGGTAAAATCACTTTATCAAGCATTTTCTAACACTGAATTCTACAAGATGCGTGATAAAAGCATGTATAATTCATGCTGATATTGTATCAGATCAATACTGGTATCTGTCAAAACTCAAAGTTGTAACATCTGTATTGTATCACAGATGAAAAAGTTATATCAGGACATATATATATATATAACATTTGTCATATATTTAATCTTTCAAAACCATAAATGTAAAAGGGAAATGGATTGAGTGAGAAAGAAAGTATTGTTAGCAGAGCTAAATGACGCATTTGGCTAGATACTATTCAGCTATGCTGAGAGTGGTGGAGTTTTCACCATATGCTCCATAAAATGTGGTCTGACAAAATGGAAAATTACTTCTCAGCAGTGTTACTTTCGTCAACCATTACGATGACGAAAATATTTCGTCAACGCCTCTTTTTCCCATGAAGATGACTAGACAAAAATTGTTTCCAGAAAATAAAAATATGACGAAAATAGAAAATGATTTTCGTCAACAAGACTAAGACCAGAGAAATTTACGATCCATGGACGAATGGACATTAAGAAAGGTAATTGTGTTTAATTAAGTTGTAATTGCTAATATTTTTCTTGAACTTCATAAAAGATTTTGCGTTGTTGCCCTGTTCGTCCCTACACGGCGCCTGTCCCACAGCGCCTCGCGCCGCACAGTCAGTAGCAGCAGAGAGTTTATACTCATAGTTCAACTCCGCAGTCATTGTGGATACCGGTGTGCGGTTTGTTAAACAACGCATAGATGTATAAATAAAATAGAGAAAAAAAGAAGCTGTGTGATGAATTTTTATTCTGTACAGTGTGATATATACAGTATGTTAAAAAAATCAGTGTGTGGAGAAGTTCTATTTTTTACAGCGTTGACTAAAATGACAAAAAATGACTAAAATATGACTAAGATTAAAATAGATTTTTGTCATTGTGACTAAGACTAAGACTAAATTTTAAAAAAGCTGACGAAATTAACACTGCTTCTCAGAAACTAATTTTTCCTATTTTTTTTTATAACCATATTTTCAGTCGTAAAAGTAAGTCGTAAACAGAGGAACTCCAGAACAACAATCGCAACTCTGGGGTATGTAGGGTTATACATGTAAAAATCACAGCTAGAGAGGATTTACTGCATGATGCCGATAATTCAGTGATATGTGAATGTTTTACCTCATACTGCATGATTAGGCCATTGGGTTCCGCAGGCTCCTCCCATTTAAGAAAGATCATGTCATCCATTGGAGTGAAGGTCAAAGACTCTGAAGCAATGACTCCAGGAACTATAATTAGGACAAAACAAAAACAATTTTGTCTGAAAGAAGCATTCAATATGGGTCTAGACTAAATGGACCTCTCTGTGTGAATGTTGGTTACAAAGCTTATAATAAAGAGTGCTAGTTTCATTTTACCTCCAGAACATTGCCAAAACTATGAATGCCATGTCCAGGAGTGATGCTTTAAAAACCGCTTTAGGTATATGTAACTTACAAGTTATAAGTTAACTACAATATGTAGTTAACTTTATATTTTTTTAAGACAAAGCAGAGTGTGTATGACATCATCTGTGCGCCGGACTGGAGTGGTGACAGGCAGCCCGGGCCACAGGCGGCTGCGCTCTCCCCCTTCTATTCATTCTAGCTAATCTGAATCGTTCAATTCCATTTGGAGAGCGAGATCATCTGTGGTAGCAGCACTAGACATCTTCCAGGCATGTGAGGAAAACTAGCAGCAGTTCAGCGGACAGGATGAATGAACGGTAGCTGGCACGCGCGGGTGCCGTCACACACTCCACTTTGTTTTAAACAAAAATTTAAATAAACAATATAACCGTGGATGTCTGGGGGACAGTGATTGGCCTACATGTTCTGAATGCTGGCGTACCATAAAGAATAAATGATGAACAGTTTAGTTTGTGCCTTCGAGTCGTTGCCCATAGGAAGACGTTACTGGATATAACCTAACGGAATATCTTCAGAATGGCTCCAAATGACACAAAACTCATTTGGGTGAGTAGAAAATGATGTTATAACGTAAAAAAAAACTTGTTCCCCTTTAAGTGGGATACACCACGTTTAAAAATGTGCAAAACCCCCTAGGGTCAGAGACTCTTCCACCACAGTCTCCTAAAATCCTGTGGGAAACACTGAAAACGCTAATATCTACTTCCAATCACCACAGATGACCCAGCCTGAGGCAGCTGCTGCTAGGGGTTCCCGGTGACAGTGCACCATAGGTATGTGGGGGTCTGCGTGGCTCAGACAACAAAATAATATTTAAAGGCATGATTGTAATCTTGATGAACTGACTGAAGAGACAATGTATTGAGGATGTTTTTGCCACTCTCTGCCACTGAACACTGTAGCAACAGAAGCACACACACACCTGTTCACACTTTACTTGGTGAACCTCAGGCCAGCACCTCTTGAGGCACATCTCATTTATGTGTTCAAGAATCAAATATGTAGCAGCAGTTGCTTTATTAGCTTCTGAAATCATGTGCTTTGTGAACATAGCATAAGACAAAGGCTAAGCTGATTAATAGTCACTAGCCTGTGTTTAAAGGGCTGATCTTCCATTTAGTTGTTTCTATTTTTTTGCATGAGTAAACAACTAAAAGCCTAGATTTTCAGGGCGATGCAGAACAATGATAGCCTGGGTGCCATTCCGAACTTAGTCCCGCCCACAAGGTTTGAGTTTGGTCTGGCTCTGCTCCATAGTAGCGCGAGTATTATCGCCCACTGTCAGGCGATCCAATCAAATTGTCAGGGCGGGCTTTATACGATGATGGACAGATGACCAACATAAGGTAATCAACCACGGGACCAATGCGCGCTTGGGTGACAACAATAATGGCTGCCGCTGGAGAGTTTAGGTGAGTAGATTCTGCTATTGGGTCTGTTCTAGAAGATATCGACAGCAAATTAATTTTAAAAGAGGAACAGAGAAACGCGATCAAGGCTCATCTTCTTATTCTAGGCGTGCAATTGCACGCTTTGATTTTTGTTGACAACAACTATGCGTTGCTTAACATACGTCACGCATTCCGTTGCTCTATTGGTTGTAGGTCTATCCAATTGAGTGCAGAGGCATTTTTTTCCCTGGTTCGTTCGAAACACGCCCCATAATCACAGCTCTATGGAGCAGCATCAGACTAATATTCTGACTAGAATTGAGTAGGACTACGTCAGGCTAGAACAATGACCAATTAATGAAGATACTACAAACGTAGGAAGTTATGCCACTCATCTATGAAAATATAAGCCTTATTTCATGCATTATTTAACAAATATGCCTTTTATGCAGATAATTTATTACCATAAAATGAGAGCAATTAAACTTTTATTTACCATCTTCGTCTGTCTGGAAGGTAACTTCCCGGCTCTCCTTCTTGCCCTCTGGGTTGGCCAGTGCCAGGCTTACATAAATCACATGAAAAGGTGGCAGGTCCCTCAGTGTAAAATGAGAGCTATTGCTGTCCACCAACAGGCAATCTTTTATGGTGGCATTGTTTCCCCCGCCGTTCCCTGTCGCCATGGTGTAGCGGTAGCAGAGAAACTGTGAATATGTGTGGCAACGTGTGAGGTTGTAGCCTACTGGCTCCCATTGAAGGGCCAAAAAACGTGGCTGGATCTCTGTCGCCGTGAGGTCACGCAGGGCACGCTTGGGCTCTGAAAGACACACAATTCAATTCAATTAAATTTATTTATATATGGGTATTTAACAACACATTTCATCTCAAAGAACTTTACAGTTCACCAGATCATACAGTCAAATTGATTCAAAGTGTTCTATCTAAGGAAAACCAGTTAATTGCATCGACTCATTGACATAAATCAGTCCCTCACACAATGCATGCTAGTAGCGACAGTGGAGAGAAAAAACTCCCTTTTAACAGAAAGAAATTTCCAGTAGAACCAGGCTCAGTGTGAGCAGCCATCTGCTGAGGCCGACTGGAGTTTAAGGAGACAGAAGCAGACAAGGAAAAAGAAGCATAGATACATTACAAAAAGTTATAAAAACAAACCACTTGACTTTGTTTTCCAAGTTTGAAGACCTTTCGCTTCCCATCCAGGAAGCTTTCTCAATTCAAAATGTCTGGATTAGCGTTGAGTTCCAGGTTTTTATTAATTAGCCCAACAAAAGCCTTGTAATAGCTTAGAAAACATGTACACTGAAACTGAAAAACCAGCTCCACCCCTTAACAATGGAAGTCGTTGAGGTCGTTATTGGCCTACATTAACCGATGGTGGCCCATTCCTCTGAAAAGACAGTCGTTAAGGTTCATTGTTGGCCTGGTGAGATATTTTGTTCCCTGCATAGCGATGGAGGTTAAGATGCTATTGGGAAAGAATCATTTGTTTCGCTGTGTTATAGATTTTTGAGAGCTGAAACCTGAGTCCCCCCCCCCCCCCCTTCTCTTAAAGGTTGGTTTTCTCTTTTAACATAAATGGCTTCCTTCACACCCCTTTCAAACCACTTCTCTTCTTTATCTACCATTCTGGTCCTCACACGAATGCCCTTTGCCCTTAAGGTGTATGTGGACAGCAGAATATAAAAATCAGAGCATTCCTCTCTGCAGTGAACTGCAGACACCGCTCTGCTCTGAGTTATTTATAGACACACAATCGGCTCATTAAAAGCTGGATTAAACAATAAAAAACTTGCAATCATGTTCCATTTCAGACATTACCCAGCTGGTTGGCATGATTAATGATGTGATTCCCCTCTGACCTTGAGGTGGATTAACTAAGTAATTGTAGCAAGAAGATAGTTGGATTATTTTACTTAACAGGTTAACAATCTATCATTGATTTGAACTATTCAGGTAACAAACCTTTCAGGACAAACAAGGTCATCGTAGGGACGTCTTTCTCCCCCTCGCCTCTCCTTTCTTTTTGTTCCTTTTTGAAAACCAGACTTTGGGGAACTGCATTTTTCCTGGATGCATGGTTTTTCCACACTGCTGCTCATCCAAACTTTTCTTGTAGATTTGTTTAATTTGTTATTGCCATGTCAAATAATGTGCGCATGGCTCTTAAGCCCTGGTAGGAGCAAACTGCTAGTGACAGACGGGGAGATCTGATGGCAAACTTTAGTTTGGAGAAATCTATTTCTCTTCACTGCTAGTAAAAGTTATCTCCTCTATGTTGTTATTTTCCAGGGAAGATATGTTTATTTGTTTTGTGAATTGCAGCGTTAGTAGTTATAGGGTGGCAACAGATCAATATTTACCCCACAAACATGTCCAAATTGCAAATCTTATTGTGAAAAGTAAGCTTTCATGACCAATGCAAGTGGCAATTTGTAAACAGAGACTGCACAAGGAGAGAGGGGCTCATGCATGCTCTTGCACACTTTGATAGGTGTTCCCTCTTGGGGGTTCCTTTCAAAAATTAAGAAAAAATCCTCCCCTATACCTTTAATTTCACCAGAGTAAGGGTGGGTAAATACAAATCGATAAAAACAATTTCGATTTTTAGGTTAAAAAGAATATACTTGCCTGCACACTTTGTTCTGCTGACCAGTGGTGGTCCTGGTGCTCCAGTGCCCCCCTCCCCGGGGCGGGTTAGCACAACGCTGATGTAGTACTCTGTGTCTGGCTCCAGGTGCCAAACCTTGTAAGTAAGCGAGTTCACCACATAAGTCTCTATCCAAGTCGACTGACTTGCATGGTATTGGATGTCTCGCCGTATGACTGGTCCATCTCCATCTATAGAGTTGGTGTTGAGCTGAATGATCAGGTATGTAGACCCTGCATGCAGCAGTTGGGGGGGAGCAACCGGTGTGGGGGGGGCTGTAATAGAAAATTACATTGCTGTGAGTTTATTAAATGGTATTTCTGGTGACCTCTACAAAATTCTTGCTGTTTTTATTTTTGCTTGGAATAAAAAAAGACAAAGGCAAAGCAAGTTATGTCACTCACTGAATAGCATCTTTACTGTCTGAATATAACATCAAAACATTTTAATGACAGAACTGTGAATATGGACCCAGAAATAAATAGAAACTCCACCCTTTGAATTGTGGATTTAAATAAGGATTTTTACTTTCACATTTCATTTGCCCAGAAACAATTTTTACTTGCCCAGTATAATGTTTGATAAATATAGTTCCTAATATTCATTTTTGTATATATATCAACGAAACATGTTTGTTTTTTTAAATGATTTTTGTAATTCAGTATTTTTTTTTTTTTTACAGTGTCCTGTCTGGCAAGGTGGCAATAAGAATAATTGTCTTGATGCCAAAAGGAGCCCAACAGATTTTACTTTCACAAGTGTAGCGGTATCGCAATTGCCATACTGCTCCACTTGTTACATGTATATAAATTGCTTTATTATAATTATGCAGGGAGTTTTACAGTTCATATGGACACTGCAATGTAAGCAGAGCAGAAAAACAGAAGAAGAAGAAGAAGGAAAAAGAAAAAAACAGGACAAAAGATGAAAGAAAGAGGAGATAGGAAGGAGACAATGACAAAACATTTTCAGTCTGCTTCAACACCTGTAATGAGATGGAAAAAAAAAAAATAGAACAGCACAACCAAAAGACACGGTACGAGATATACAATAAAGCAAACACCTTGAAACTATCGCTAAAGTAATATTATTAAGTCTGACATGTACTCTGTGTTACCTGAAGATATGAATGTGGGGTTTCTGTTTGGAAGTGAATCTCTAAGTACCTGAAGCCTAGCACCTGTAGTTGTTTGTGAGGGTGAACTTGTGCATGTAAAGTTTTAACCATAGAAAAAATGCTCAATAGTGGTTGTGGAGAGCCGGAGAGGCACACCCCCCAGAGCACTGAGTCCAGCGCCGGGAGACCCAAAGCCCCAGGCGCCCAAGGGGACCCCAGAAGCGAAGGCACCAAGGCGGGGCCAGCCCCGGAAACCAGACCCCACCAAGGCAGGAGGAGAGACAGCCACGAAGAAGCCCCCCAGCCACCGCCATGCCGGCGCCCCGGGGAGCCGCGGGGACGAGTCCGCGGGCCCCGCCGGCAGCCGGCCACCCCGAAGTAGGGCCGGGCACCGAACACCAGCCCCCCCACGGCGCCGACCGAAACGCCCCAGCCCCACAGAGCACCGAAACACGCCCCGCCCCCAGCACCAAGCCCCGGCGACCGGCCGCAACACCCACCGCGACCGCACCACCCAGGAAAACACTCAGGCGGCCCCGGCCGGGGCCCATGCGCATCCGCCGCGAACCGGCCGCGAGCGCCGCGGGACCCCCCCAAAGCACCCCCCCCGGCCAAAAGCGCAGCCCCACCCCACCAAGACCGATGCCAACAGCGCGCAACGAAACACACCGCGCACAGAATCAGCCCGAGAGCAGAAACCGCGCCGCCCCCCCCACCGGACGAAGCCAACGCAGCCCAGCCACGTCCGCCGCCCCCCCCCCCGCCGCCCGCACCAGGCCCTGACACGCGGCCAGAGCAGCTCCGCCGCCCCGGCCCCCCACCACGCGCCGGCCATAGCCACTCCAGGCCCCCACTCGCCCCGCAGCCCCACCCGCCGCGATCAGCGGGAACAGAGCAGCCCCGCCATGCCTCCAGGAGGGAAAACCCACCCGAATACCCAGCCAGCGCAGCCAGCCCGCCCAGACCGGCCCCCCAACACCACCCCCGCCGGAGCCGCCCGGACCCCCACACACCAGCGGCGCGCCGCCAGCAGGACCCCCACCCAGCAGGCCCGCCCGCCCCCCGAGAAAAAAGACATGCCAAACCCCCCAAAAAAAAAATTTTTAAAAATTAAAAATAAAAAAAAAAATAAAAAAAAGGAGCCCCCACAATGCGACAGCGGACACCAGACACCGACCCGCCCGCAACCGCTCCCCCCCACCGAGGAAGAGAGAAAAAAAAAAAAAAAAAAAACAAAAAAAAAAAACAAAAGAACATAAATAAATACACTATATTGCCAAAAGTATTTGCTCACCTGCCTTGACTCACATATGAGCTTAAGTGACATCCCGTTCCTAATCCATAGGGTTCAATATGACGTCGGTCCACCCTTTGCAGCTAGAACAGCTTCAACTCTTCTGGGAAGGCTGTCCACAAGGTTTAGGAGTGTGTTTATGGGAATTTTTGACCATTCTTCCAGAAGCGCATTTGTGAGGTCGCACACTGATGTTGGACGAGAAGGCCTGGCTCTCAGTCTCCGCTCTAATTCATCCCAAAGGTGTTCTATCGGGTTGAGGTCAGGACTCTGTGCAGGCCAGTCAAGTTCATCCACACCAGACTCTGTCATCCATGTCTTTATGGACCTTGCTTTGTGCACTGGTGCACAGTCATGTTGGAAGAGGAAGGGGCCAGCTCCAAACTGTTCCCACAAAGTTGGGAGCATGGAATTGTCCAAAATGTCTTGGTATGCTGAAGCATTCAGAGTTCCTTTCACTGGAACTAAGGGGCCAAGCCCAGCTCCTGAAAAACAACCTCACACCATAATCCCCCCTCCACCAAACTTTACACTTGGCACAATGCAGTCAGACAAGTACCGTTCTCCTGGCAACCGCCAAACCCAGACCCGTCCATCAGATTGCCAGATGGAGAAGCGCGATTCGTCACTCCAGAGAACGCGTCTCCACTGCTCTAGAGTCCAGTGGCGGCGTGCTTTACACCACCGCATCCGACGCTTTGCATTGCACTTGGTGATGTATGGCTTGGATGCAGCTGCTCGACCATGGAAACCCATTCCATGAAGCTCTCTGCGCACTGTTCTTGAGCTAATCTGAAGGCCACATGAAGTTTGGAGGTCTGTAGTGATTGACTCTGCAGAAAGTTGGCGACCTCTTCGCACTATGCGCGTCAGCATCCGCTGACCCCGCTCCGTCAGTTTACGTGGCCTACCTCTTCGTGGCTGAGTTGCTGTCGTTCCCAAACACTTCCATTTTCTTATAATACAGCTGACAGTTGACTGTGGAATATTTAGGAGCGAGGAAATTTCACGACTGGATTTGTTGCACAGGTGGCATCCTATCACAGTTCCACGCTGGAATTCACTGAGCTCCTGAGAGCGACCCATTCTTTCACAAATGTTTGTAAAAACAGTCTGCATGCCTAGGTGCTTGAATTTATACACCTGTGGCCATGGAAGTGATTGGAACACCTGATTCCAATAATTTGGATGGGTGAGCAAATACTTTTGGCAATATAGTGTAGGTAAATAAATTAATTAATTAATAATTACAATTAAAATAAATAGGCAAGAGGAGAAGTGCGAGCGGAAAAACCGGAGCCCAAAACAGGACCCAAGACCCGCACCCCACCATGCCGTGCAGCTCCCCCCCCCCGAACCGATACCACAGAACCGGCATAGGAAAGAAACACCGCCCAGGAACCGGCATTGTAGCGAATGCACCGGCACCGACCCCGAAAATCCCCGAACAACACCCAGCCCCACCCCGAAGCGGATCCAGTCCCAGGCCCCAGGGATCCGAGGCCCCAAGGGCACCCGATCCCCGGACAGGAGCCCCAGCAAAGCCCCGGCCGGCCGGGGCCAGCGGAGAGGCCGCCAGGAATGAGCCAGCAGTCCCCCGGGCATCCACCCCCAGCTCCACCAGTGCACCGGTGAGCCCCGACGCCAGCCAGCGGAGGGAGAGCAGGACGGGGGGAATGGGCTCCGCACTTAGCGGAGACTTGAGATGTATTTGGGCGAGGGTGCGGTTGAGACCCCAACCTGGGTAAAAAAAAAAAAAAAAACACACCATCTCAATCATGCCTTCCCTCCCTAGTGCCCCCACTCGTACCACAGGAAAAAAAAAAAAAAACATTTTTGAATAAAATAATAATAATAATAAATAAAGAAAATAACAACGCGGACACACATTCACACATAACACTCACATCCAATAATACCAGGACCAAAAACCCGGTGACACCGGTGGTCGGTCCCGGGACTATCGGATGACCCCATAAGTGAACCTAAAATTCAATTCAATTCAATTCAGTTTATTTATATAGCGCCATATTCACAACACATGTCATCTCAAGGCACTTTACAGTTCAACCAGATCATACAGTCAAATTGATACAAAGTTTTCTATCTAAGGAAAACCAGTTGATTGCATTGACTCATTGACTCAAATACAATCCCCCACACTAAGCATGCTTGTAGCGACAGTGGAGAGGAAAAACTCCCTTTTAACAGGAAGAAACCTCCAGCAGAACCAGGCTCAGTGTGAGCGGCCATCTGCCGAGGCCGACTGGGGTTCAAGGAGACAGAAACAGAGATACAAAAAGCAGCTGTAAAAGGCGGCCCCGTCCAGGAAACACACAGCCAGGCAGACGAGCTCCAAGGCAGCTCCCATGCCAGAAGACGAAGAGAGCACATCCACTCAGTCACGGCCAGAGAAACAGGACCACACTGGAAAACAGGCCGATCTCCAACATCTATAAACAAGGGTGTTGATGGAAGCAGCACAGCTGATGTTTCTTTCCAGGATGACGTCACAGCCAAACAGGAACAGACGAGGCAAAGCTACTCTGAGGAAAAGCAGAGAGAGCAGAAGGTTAGAGATTGAACTAACAGATTCTGCAGAATAGGAGAACAGAGAGAGAATGAAGCAGAATGATGAAATGGGGGTCCCTATGTCCTCCAAAAGTCTAAGCCTATAGCAGCATAACTATAGAGATAGCTCAGGATAACCTGAGCCACCCTAACTATAAGCTTTATCAAAAAGGAAAGTTTTAAGCCTAGCCTTAAAAGTAGACAGGGTGTCTGCCTCACGGACTAAAACTGGTAGTTGGTTCCACAGGAGAGGAGCCTGATAACTAAAAGATCTGCCTCCCATTCTACTTTTA